TTCTTTTACCTATCAGCGCCTAAAAGAGATTACTTCACAATTTCTCTAGATTTTGGTCCCTAAATAGTCTTTATTTATTTACGCCAAAAACAGTTAAAACTGTGTGTAACGAGCGAGGAGAAGAAGTTAATTTGAAGTTACGTTTATGTCCAAACGAAAAACAAGGGGCCATCTTAGCATTTGCTCAAGGATCAGGGAAACTGGACGAAAACCTGATCGAGAGAGAGGTCATTGACCCAGAAGCTAAAGCACAATACTTGTTACAAGTTCTTTAGAACTATACAATTTTACAAGAAACATTTGACATACCGTAAACTACAGGATGAGATATTCTTGGACATTCTATTAAATTTTTGTTACTTCGGCATATACCATGGCATATACCAATGCCATCCGTACCGTTTGTGATGGTGGCCATCTATGTGACTTCACGCTTAGAAGGCTAAGGTTCCTCTATCTTATACTATTTACGCATTCTGTGTTCATCGTGCTTTATGCAGACTGACGAGGTTCATTTGAATAATTATTCATTCAAAATTTGCTCTCGCATCAACGTAGTATACTATACTATAGTTCCTTAATTCCGATGAAGATTGTTTCTTATGCCCTAAAAACATTAATTTAACGTTTTGCTGAGGTCTGCAAGTGCTATGTACACGTGCTAAGTGCTATGTACACGTGCTAATTGTAGAGGTATGTTGGTGTACAGTGAAGAGTGTAGACATGTATTGTTAGGTTTGGTTTCTATTTTACCTGGACGAGTATTTTCGTTATCAGCAGTGATTCGATGGAACTTTCAAGTCCGCGGTTTCTGTGACGTAGCTTTCTTAAGAGTAAAAAGATTTTTTCATAGTTTTGTGACTCTCACGAAAAGCGAAAAGATAATTGTCAAAGAATATATAATAATTACTTCAAATATTTTTAAGGAAGGATTGTGATTTGTTCCAAAAAATCTCTCGATAATGCGGAATAAATCTTAAATGAAAATTTCTTTTCAACATGAATTGCAGTGTTTTTATTTTAATTTGATATTGTGTTAGTACAATGAAAGTTACCTTTCTACATTTTTAAACAAATAAATACGTTTCGTTAACAACTTTCCCTCTTAGAAAGGAAATAGGATAGGGAAGAAAGAGTGTGGGGTTTAAGTTGTGAGAGTTCTCGCACGGGTATGCGGTGGTAGTAAGGGAAAACTTGTGCTTGCACACCACAAAGAAGAAACTTTTCAAATTAACTGAAGTATAGTAGCTTGAAATAAATGAACGACAAAAATCAAAATGCACTAACCTACAATACTACATAAATTTATTTAAAAAAGCAACTAAATTTAAAATTATAGAAAGACACTCGACAAAATGAAACTTCAAATTAACTTCTCCCTATACCACGTCACACACAGTTTTTTTAACTATTTTTGACGTAAATAAATATAAACTGCCAACAATTACAATCCAAACGCACGATTTAAATGATGGCGGCATCTGGAAGTCTGCACATCAATTCTCAGCATCATTACCATGTACAGAAGTGAAGTCTAAGCCTACTGAATTGTTTCTAATGGTAACAAATGGTATATATAACTCAAGGGGGAAAATATGAGTTTTATTACTTTTTGCTCGGAAATGCTTTTCTTGAGGTACGTAAGAACGCAGAAAATTGTTTTTTTCATTTTCGCACTCCAGCAAGCTGGCGCCTGCCCCTTCAAAACCTCTTCTGTTCCTCATAACAAATACAAGAAAGTTAAATAATATTGCAAAGAGTAGGGATGCCGATCCTTTATTTTCGCATGGAAAACACGCAAGGGTAAAAACCTTTTCTAATATTTTTGTGACTATTAAGGAAAGCGAAAAGCAAAGTGTCAAAGAAGATTGAATAACTACTTCAAAAGTTTTTAAGGAAGTGTGAATTGTTTAAAGAACATATTTCTATAATACTGAATAAACATTTATTGAAAATTTATTTCCGACAAATTGCATTGTTTTTATTTTTGTTTGATACTTGAAATAAGGTAAGTACGAAGTTATATTTGTACATTTTTAAAACAAATAAACAAGAATATATCAACATACGACTTGGGTAACTCCTTAAAATTATAGTCATAACCATGAAATGACTTGTCTATTTCTCTAACTACTTATTCATTTGCAAACAAAGAGGAATCGTGGGTAGGAAGTAGTGTGTTTATATTACTGTATGCAAATTTATCTGGAATTAATCGTAGTACTTCATCAAAAAAGAGGATGTAGGTTGAACATACAGGTTCATTCTAAGAACACGCAGACACTGCTTCAAAATACCCGTGACGAAAATGTCCTTGGAGTAAAATAATTTCAAGGAATACGTGAATCAACATCGAACTTTCAAGAAAAAGTCTCAGAAATAATACATTTTTACCCTCGTTCTACTTTATTAGTTATCTTATCTTCTCTATTAGTCAACCTACTGCTATAAAGGTGCATTTTAAGAACTCGGAAAAACTGCTTCAGAATACCCATGACAAAATACTCTGAGGAGTAAAATTATTTGCAAGACTGTATGAATCCTCGACGCATTTTCAAGAAATTATTTGTAAAATTGACTATAAAACTTTTACACCAGAACTTCCTTTTCTTTTTGATATTCTTTGTACATTTTAGAGGTGTACATTTTCAATTATGTGTTATCATGTCATCCTTCATATTTCGTTGCAAAATTATCATTCCCCTATTTGTCAGTTTTGAGATATTGATGCCATTTTCAAACTTTTGTGGGCAACTTTCCTTTTAAAAGTCGTTTAACTTTTTCAAGTTCAAATATGCGTCAGATGATAACGCCTAGAAAATATTCAATAAAGTTTATTGTATTTTCAAACAATCAGTGCCCAAACATTGTCTGTAGATTCAGCAGAAATTGTGTTAAATTTTCATTCTGTTTCCATTCTTTCTACCTCGAGAGGTGTACAAATACTCAAGCATTATATGTTACTTCAGTCATCTGCTAGCCTCATAATCGTTCAAACCGTTTTTACAGGGTTTTAAAACCCGCGACCCTGTCAATATCATTATTCTGCGATTGTACAAAATGAAGCATTTTGCGTATCGCTAAGCATGCGTGAAGTTTGCTGTGTTTTCTTAAAACATGAAGTGACACCTCCCGATAATTAATTACTTTCTCACTACTTATACCGCGATAGAGAGAAAGTTATGTAATGCTGCGCCAAAAAACAACAACAAACGACAAAAGAAATCTGTATATGAAGTAAAACGACAGTAAAACTTAAATACAGGGCCCAGGCAACAACGAAGTGAATAAATCCAGATGCTAAATGTACAAAAAAATCTTCTAACACGTGGTGTTGCCAGTATCAACAATTTGGGTGTTCCTGATACCGAAAAATCGATTGATGACAAATCGTCTATGCGTCCGTCTGTGAACAACGCTAGCGGCTAAACCGTTCAGCCGATTTTCTCCAAAATTGATATTCTCCAATCGATCTGGCTTATGTTAGACCCCTTCATTTTAAACCCAATATTTTAGTTTGGGAGGGTATTTTAGAAAAAAATCGCCGGGACATTTTTAATTTTTTTCTAAAAAAATTGCTCCATTGTTTTGGATGTAATTTTGTTGTTGAAGTACGGAGAACGTTTAAGAAAATGGTGCAGGTGTCATGTTGGTTCATTTTTTTCTTAATGAAATGTGTTCATCAAAAACAGATCTTCAAATAATGTTTTGAAAATTTGAAATTTTTTTGAGAAATTTAGCGACAAGCATAAGTCGCCCGCTCTCAATTTACTGCGCTTCGTGAATGTAAAATGAATGGTGTTGCTAAGCAGTTGGATGGTACGTAAGTTATAGTTTGTTTATTATTTAAATATTCCATTTTAAATTGGGTTTTTTAATTGTGTTAAATGTGAAAAAGTATAGATGATTTCGCTTTGCTTAATAAGATGTGGTAATAGAGATTAATGGATGTATAAAAGCAGAGAAATTCTGATGAATATAAACATATTAATTTTAATTATTATATTTTTCTATTCATATTTATTTGCTTTTGGTATCAACAATGCTAAATGGCAAAATGTGTATCCCATACGAATTAGTGGTCATTGTTACCTGTAACCCATTATTGTAACGCCGCACTGATAACAGAAGGCGATAATGATGGTTGGCTTTCGTTCGCGTTAATATAAAATAATACTTTTATATATTTCTGGAATTTTACAATACCATAGTGTTTAATAATTTATATTATATATTTTTCGATCTATTTGCATTTGTTTGCCAAAGCTATCATTATCATATTATTCATTAACTTTTAATTATTTTACCTTCACGCATACTGCTTACGAAGAATATTGTAGGCTAAAGATCTCATCCGATATGTTCGTGAATACGCTGCATTTCTTATACAATAAATTCAATGCCAGAAATATACTTTCATTTCAAGTTTTGAATAAAAAATCTATTGCTTGAAACTATTTAATTTTTGCACCAAATGTTCTACGATTTCAAATTATTTTTACAAAAAATGATGTCTGAGATGTGTTAATTCGGAGAGAAATTGTGGTATAAATGGTATTACATAACTAGTACTAAAGGCGTGGAAGCACGTGCTGTTTTAGCGCCACGAGTTTTAACATTACGTCACGCCAACGTGTTGTGTTTTTAAAGACTTTTCGCTTTAAAATGACTTTCATTGTTTGAATTATAATGAAAAATAGCTGGAAATGTGCAGTGCTGGGTTGTATAAGTATTTTTATATGATCATAGAAAAAATGTTTACACTGCGCAGCCGAAATTATTGTTTCTTGCACGATCATTAATTTTTTGCCCCAACCTATCAGTGTCAGTAAAAAAACGTAAAACTTGATCGTGCAAAAAATACCAATTTTACGTGCTTAATTAAAAAAAATGACAACGAGCTTTTGCGTTGTTTCTTCGACATACTTCCTCAATTTTACCTCTCAGCTGCGTTGGCAAAGAATAGAAGTGGTGAACCGCGCGTGCGTTGTCTGGCGCAGGCACTGTCGCTCTTGATGCTGGTGGCGGCCGCGGCGGGCGCCGCCTCCGCCGTCGCAGTGCTGCCCTCGCACGCGGAGGAGGAGCCCACGACGGCCGGGCCCCCGCAGCCCTACAGCTTCGCCTACGCCGCCGGCCGCTTCCCCAACCACGTGGACCGCACGCACGAGGAGGCCAGCGACGGCTCGGGCGTCGTCAGAGGTACGCCCTTTGTTTCTAGGACCGGCCGGCTGAGACGGCTCAAGGCAGCAGTGAATGCCACTGCCAGTCGTAGGATTAGAATCCGACGGTAGCAGGATTTTCGACACTTGCTAGAGAGCTAGGCCGAATTCAGTCGCTGTCTGGAGAAGAATTCTAGCAACCGGCTGGTCTGATCGGTAGTTTTCCGTGTTTTCTCCGATCGACACCAGGGGAATGCCGGGCCGCGTGCGACGTTTCTATCCTCACCCCACCCTTCCTTGTCCTATCCTCACCCCATACACACGCTTACACTAACAAGCACGTCACTACCGCACATTCCAGGATACCGGTCGAGAGCTTAGAGCTTGTTCTGGCTGGGTCGGTTCCCCGCTAGAAGGAGATACCTGGTTGGGGAAATCCCCGCTAGACGACAGAAAGGTCGGCGTCGGATCTTACTATCCAGCGGGGGAAGATCATCGCCACCTCCATAGGGGGAAAACATGCACTACACCTACGGGAGTAATTTGCCTTAGTAGTCGCACCCGGTGTCACTAATCAATCAAGCAATCTAGCTAGTGTCGAAAATTCTGTGACTTTAGGATCTCCCGCTCATAGTGCAGTGAAATCACTTGCTACCCCAAGCCACCTAAGCAGGTCCCCAATTAGAAAGAGTACTTGATTGACACATGCACATAGATACCAATCGCAGCTCTTCAACATTGAACCAAACTATCGTAACACTTCCACTGGTCTGACTGCAACAGAAGTATTTTCCCCTCTTTGAGCCCAGTGATTGGCTGTTTCTGTCGAACCGACTTTAGGGCTTTCAAGCCTCAGTCATATGCTCATTTTACTGGCATTGTAGATTCGGTTACTTTTGGCACTTGCCACTGTCGATTCACCCAAAGGGGTGTCGTCATTAAAAAGCGAGAGGTAAAAGCAAGTTTTAGGTTTTATTTCTTGAAAGTGATCGCCTTTCCATCATCACACTCTCTTTTGTGGTAAAACTGCTCGTGCGTAAGTATTTAATATGAAATCATTAGAAAAATTCTGGAATATTCGCAAAACTGAGCTTCTAGATACAAGTGATTTATGTATAATTTGTCTCTTAATATGATCATCTCAAACAACAATACTTAACTATTTATGCGTTCAGCAAAATATTGGTTTTGTATTGCTTTATATCGTTATTAATTTGATATAAGAAATTAGAAAACTATTAGTTCATGCCTAAATTTCGGTGTATTAACACCGATGTATGTACTTTCATCAGTTCAAAAGTAATAGACAATAGAAACAGTAGGAAAGGAATATAACAATAACAAAACAAATAATTTCACACATACACTTAAGAAAACACAATGTTAAACAATCAGCCGTTGATAGTGCCTATATAAACAATGCCATTTTCTTATTGAATCAGGTTAATGTACAATACCATGCAATAACTCATATTGCATTTTAAAAGAACGTCAACATATATTAAATAATGGAAGAATGTTCAAACTTGGCTTCTACATGTTAACAACCATAGTGAGTCATGGTACCAACTATCATAACAGTTAGCATTCTAACATACAATTTAATTCATCAATAAAATTGTATTATCATTTTTACTTAATTCTTGAATAATATAGTAACACTCATTTATTAATACTAACATCCTGATCTAACATTTAAATTACTCCAGACCGTGGTGCCCACTCTCACTACAAATGCAGTCTCACAAAGATGCAAGATTCCTGACAAAACAGAATAAAATATTTTTGAACATATTATTATACTAACAGCATAACTAAATTACTCTAGTAACACTTTGTACAATGTAGGATGCAAATTATGTTGCATGCTGCATTATACTGAATTGCTCTACAATATAGCATGGGTTTATTGAAAAACATAAAATTTTTGTATTTGAATGTAGCATCTGCTACATTTATTCACTCACAGATTGGGGACTCCAGAGACTAGTTAGTCAGGATGGTAATACGAGTAGTTTGTAGTATGTTGACTCGTTCTCTTGTCAAAACAATCCTGAATAATAATTTATCTCATTCGCTAAATAAATTATTGAGAGTAAATTCATTTTCATTTCCATATCTTTTGATATGCCGTAAATTTACTCATTATTGAACATAAACTGACTATTTGAGAAAAAAACTTTCTCTGAATGCGGTTCTTACGTGTAAAAATTCGTATTAAGTTTATTCTTCAAGAATTATTTTTACACCTACAAATAGTGAAAAATAAGTGTTCCATTTTGAAATTTTAAACAGCAATTAAATGAGGAAGACCACTTGAATAGTTATGGAAGTAGTCACTCTTAGCATGTTTCCAAAAAACCAAAGAAAACAGACTTTCGGAAAGAGTTTTGATTTCGTGTTTCACCGAATGAGAAACGCATTTCTGCAAAGGTTGTCTGTGAGGAGTGTTGCCTACTGTTAGGCGCACCGATGTCTAAAGCCGGATACCATTCTGACCAAATAAAATAGAACTCGTAAAATATTGCTTAAGTTACGTCTCGAATTGCTGATAAATAATTTAACTTATTAAAATCGTTGATTACCTATATTTTTAAGCAATATTTTATGCATACATTTTAGGCAAATTGAAGCGCTAGCTCCATGGTATGGGGCTTTCTGACCTGAAGGACTCAGAATGGAATCCTGACAAAGGTTGGGATTTTTATCTCGTGATTTTCATTTAGGACGACTTTGAGGTCGACTTAGATTAGTTTTCAAGTGAGTACTGGGATCTTTCCTGCGGGTAAAGGCAGCCGGACTTTTGCTCACCACATAACCTTCTCCTTGTGCTGACGGCGAAGAATAGGTGAAGCACTATATCTGTTTTGGGCCACATCAGCCTGTGTGGAATAACACAGGGGTACCTTTACATTTGCTTCATTACTGACAAATTAATGAATACGAAGATCGGAAAGGTCAGACGATTATCTCTCAATTTTAGAAAATTCAATAAGACTTGTACAGCAAACAAGGACATACTTTGATAGTTCTTAGAAGCAATGAGGCAATGTCAGAGGGAGTCGTCTCCACGACCGAAGGAACCAGAGATTTTATCATCTCCTGAAAGAGAGAGTCGTGGCACGTTGAAGTAATTGCGGTATTCGATTCGTGGAATTCTGGAGAGCACGAAGAGGTGAATATTGCTTCCGGGTAGGGTTCGCGTCACCATTTCTGAAAAATGGAGGGGGGCATGGGAGGTGAACTGGACGGAAAATGCGTGAAGAAGCAAAGCGAAGAAAATGAGAAAAAAATTAAAGCAATTAAAAGGCCGGGGGAATGGCACGAGGAGAAAAAGTCAAGGAAGAAAACGTACGACGCGGTTTATTTTATTCAGAACATGAAAGTCTTGTACTAAGCAAAACTCGTTAATTTTTCGACATGTCCGCGATGACTAGATGACAATGCGTATAATGTACGACTAGGGAGGGCGAGGCGACCAGGAGGTTCCGAGGAGGTGCGCCCGAGGAAGACGCGGTGTGTGGGGCCTTGACGACACGCGAAAGCCGCGCATCTCCGCCGCAGCCCGTGGCCTTGGCATTACGCTCGGAATGCCACTTGCCGCTGGGTGGGACGCGTCTGCCTTCGATGAACCTGCCGCCCACTGAACTTGATCTTATTTCCTAATGAAATGAAAATGATTCCTTCTGATACGCTCAACCCTGAGCAACCGCCCGAGCTAAATGTCAGACGGTAAAGTTGCTCTCTTTTTATTATACTCTTAGTGAGCTTAGTAGGACTTTTCTCGTTCTATTCGTTTGAAAAATTTTCTTTGTAAAGGAAGTTTTTTTTGTGGAAATACTTGTTTCAAATTCTGAAGGTGACATCAGGTTGTTTCGTATACATGTGATAGGCTTTCTGTCTCAAGAAAAATTCTCCAATTAATCACAATTAATGGTTAAAATGAAAATTATAGTTAAGATAGTTAAGATCTATTAAGAATACATCATTGGTTAATGAACATGAAGCGTCAGTGACAAAGTTGTCTGCATTTCTTTTAATTATTAGGGTTTACTTGAGGAATATTGCAGAAGCTATAAAGACTACACGAGACGAAATCATGAGTTATTTATCTATCGTTACCAAAAAGGCAGTGTAATGCGCCACAAACATAGGTATCAGATGAACCTTTGTTAAGTACTACGTAAACTTTGCTTTTTCGATGCAATATGAAAAATGGTGGGATGTGAAGTTGAGATTCCTCCAAGGAGGAAACTGGTGGGGTATCATTAAAATATAATTGTGAAAACATAATATTTATTTAATCACTTTAGTGCATATTTAGGTTTTAACATTTTAAGATATAAGATATGTTGTTTCAACCTCCCATCCCAGCTTACATCTGTGCATTTCAGAAAACAATCGAAATTATAGATTTAAATATGTCCAAATATTGGCATACAAATTGATTCAAGCTAATTTTAAGAACTCAATTCATTGAATGCTTTAATCTCTTCCATCAACAAAATATTTTGCTATGGACTACAATACGTGTGATCCAGATATACATTCGCTTTTCGGAATTATGTTTCCTTCTTACCATTTACACGAACTCAAGATTATCTTTGGGATAAATCGGTAGTCTCAAGAGAATATTCTCACATGATTTATTATTCTTCGAACTTCCTGATGTTTGAAAGCGTTTGCTGTTGATAAAACAAGTTTTGTTTATGTCATTGTACGGGCTTAGGTGGCTCAGGGCAACAATTGATGTCACTGCAGTGTGTCTGACCTGGAGGTCCTATAGTTCGAGTCACGGCAGTAGCAGGTTTTTCAACACTAGTAGGTAGCTAGGACGAGTTCAGCCGTGGTATGGAGAATTCTACCGGCCGGCTGCTCTGATAGGTCTTTTTCTGTGGTTTCTCCTTTCAACACCAAGCGAATGCTAGAGCAATTCCGTAACAAACGCGTGCGCCCTTTCCCTTCACTTCCTTGTACAATTCTCACCCCTTACTTGTACACACATTTACAAGCATTACACTACCACACATGTCGGGAGACCGGTCGGGACCTAAGAGTTTGTTCCGGCCGGGGCGGTACCACGCTGGTGAGAGATACCTGGCTGAGAGAAAACGTCGCAAGCCGACGTGTACGTCTCGGCCGGATCTCGCCATCCAGCGGAGGAAGATCACCGCCACCTCCCACGATAAAAACATACAGATCACTTACGAGACACGTGACCTTAGCAATTAACGTCTCAGCCAATGAACCGTCAGAACGCCCTGAAAACAGGCGCGTTCGCGCGCTTGGATGTGTGTCCGCAGGCAGCTACGCGTGGGTGGACCCGCGCTTCCAGGTGCGGCGCGTGGAGTACGTGGCGGACGCACACGGCTTCCACCCGGTGCTGAGCAGCCCCGTGGCCGACACGCCGGCGGTGGCGGCGGCCAAGCAGCGGCACGCGGCGCTGTACGAGCGCATCGCCGCCGAGCACGCGCGCCTCGCCGCCCAGCGCCAGGAGGAGGCGGCGCGCGCCGCGGCCGAGGAGGCCGACAACCGCGCCTAGCCCTCGCGGCGCGCGCGCAGGTCAGCCGCTTTCCCTTTGGCAGCGCAGGCGCCACTGTTGTATAGAACGATTTTCTTAAGAATGGGATAAAGGGGCAGTTCGCAATACAAGTGAACATCACGTGTACTTCAGAGATGTAAACACGTGCACCGTCACGAGTACGTGTAATTTTTATAAAAAGAAAGAATTTTTACAGAAGAGCACAAAGCTTATACTTCCTAATTTCAATTATTTCTCGTGGCGCACTATATTTTCGGACGAGGACATCACAGCCAGGGAGCGTCGTAACAATTACAAGTTAGCCAACTGCAAACGAACGAATGGAGGAAGTAGAGTCTAATACGTTCAAGGGCACAATGACCACAGAATCGTCAGTTGTGTTGGCAGCACTAGCTGTCAAATCATCCCATTCTAAAGCAAATCGTGGCGCACGCGAGGCGGGGCGGACTCGTGGGGCTTCAGCCCCACCCCCTACCCCTTGAAGCTCATCACACGTTCGAAAGAATATTGCATTAGCTTTAATTTTGTATACCGACGGAAGTCATTCAATTGTATTAATTGTTTACGTTATGAATATCAGCTATAAATAAATAAAATTACATTTTATGTTGTTCTTCCCTCGCTGGATGGCGATATCCGGCGCCAACGTATACGCCGACCAGTAGGGGTTTCCTCGTCCAAGTAGTTCCTACTAGCGGGGTTCTGTCTGAGCCAGGACAAGTTATTTGCTTCCGACAACTCTGGCACCAAATATTCACTCCCTGTTCTAATTGTGTACTGAAATGGTTTATACAGTTTAAAAATGTTTGTTTTCGTCGTATTTGTATGTTACGTTATGTGGATGTTATCCGAAAATAATTAAATTAACATGTCATTATTTAATTACAAGTTAAGGTGTTATGAATTTTAACGCTTTCGCTTTAGATTTCTTAATTTTTAAAGTAAGCTCTTCCGAACCAACAATAGTTTCAGTCAAGAGAATATTACAAATACTATTTATTTCTTAAAACTTATTATGTTTGTTACTGTTTTTGCTGAAAGATATTTTAAAATTCATTTAAAAAAAGTGAAAGTACATTTCCATATTTGGTGTACCAAATATAGAATTGGTATTTTCAATTTTTTGTTACATGCTTTACATAATACTGATTTTACCACTTTGAAGTTTCGTTTTAATTTAATTTTATATTTTGCAGATTGCTGTTCGGAAAGGAATGAAAATGAATGCTGTTATTCGTATTGTTTTAATTAATGCGCTTGTTTATTTGCTTTTGTGAAATAAACCCAATGAAAACCTTGTATTTCATTTATATCCTTGTTTGCAAATGAACCAAAAGCAGAGGTACTACCTTCACATGAATTCAGCTTTTGTGTAGTATTGACAAACCTACGAGAACCTATGTGTTTTATTTCCAATATTACATTCATCTTCTCCAGGAGATTGCTTTAATTTTCACTACTACCCAAACACATTTACAAAGTACTATTTATTTAACACCTAAAGTGTAAAATGTGTGTCACATTCTGAGTTTGGAATTACATTCAATGACCAGTCGGAGTGTAAGAAATCATCTTCACATTTAATCAAGATATCAATGAAAATGAACGACAAACGTGCTCAAGATGAGAACACGCACCCAGGAGAATTTTATAGCAATTATAGGCATGTCATCTTTTGGCACTTTAGCGGGACATATATAACATAATTATATAGCAGGCATTATTTTCTTTAATTGTATAAAAACAGTTATGTAATAGGAAAGATTTTACTTCAAACTTGAACTAGAAAATAAATCTAAATCCCCATAGTCATTTGATAAAATGGTTTTAAATAACAAGAAAATATTACACATGATTTATAACTTTTCTTGTACATATTCTAACCATACTAGCTCTCTCTCCCTCTCTCTCTTTCTCTCTCATTCACTCAGAGCGTTACATTAATATTGATTGCTTAATACAGTCTAATCATCTAAAGGATGGGGGAAGGACGGACACTCAAATTACACAGATTCGTGAATTAATAACATGAGTTTAATTTTGAGTAATTAAAATAAAAAATAACACATCGTCTTGCTCGCGGTTTACTTGATTCACATTCGATTGAAGAAATTATAAATTCTTTACATTTTTTGCGCTGTCTGATAACACCTTCGTTAATGTTCCCTCAAATAGGTTTGTCACTTTTGTCGACGGTACCTCTTTGTTTGGGCAGCTATCTGCTGTTCGCCCGCACACTGGGAAAACGGTATAAAGATGGCGTCGGCCCCGGCGATATCAGTCACCGTTCACTTACACAAAATGCGACCACAGGGGCTGATTCAGAGACGAATTTTGGAAGGGGAAATGCAACATATTTTTGTCGAATATGTCATATTACAGATTTTACACAGGCTACACGCAGGCTACACTCAGTTCATGCTGCAATACGATTGTACTCGTTTTAATAATCCGAAAATATTTTTGCTTGAAAGTTAAAATTAAGAATTATTGAGAAATTTTAGGGGAGTTCCATCATTTCCCTGCCCATGGATCCGCACCTGGATCAGCATCATCTTCTGGTTTCCAGAAGAATAATACTTACACCATATTAAAAATGTAAGAGTAATTTAATTTTTTTTTATTATTATGAAATGTGTTAAACTAGAACACATTCATCAGGGTAGGCAGTGCCTTCCCAAGGATTCGCTACTGCGTGAGGGACAAGACGTCGAGAGCAAGAGGGGGCTGGATAAGTTATGAGGTGGTCTGATTGGAGCAGTAATTGCCTAGCGGCAGTCGAACACCATCTCGGTGCAGAGGTCGCCTGTTTATTAGGGTGTTTACTCCACGGGCACTTTATGTAGTTCGCAAACGCAGTGCGTTCACGGTTGGAAGATCTTAATTATTTCGAGTTTCCGGACTCATCAACAGCGATGGTAGTTACTCCTGTAAGTGTAGTACATGATTTATCACGGGAGGTAGCTGTTAACTACCTCTCCGGCGCAAACAATTTGGCTTCAGAGGTTTTCCTCATCCGGGTATCTCCCACCAGGGGGCTGTACCTGCTGGGCACCCCCCCCCCCAGTCGGGCAAGCTCTAAGCTTCTGTCTAGTCTCTGGACTTGAGTGGGAATGTAGTGCGTGTATCATATACGCATGTGTAGTACATGCATATAATTCTCAAATTTCGTGGCTGGCAGCGTCTATCTTTCACAGTTGAAGGGGGATGAAGTTGTGTAGCGGCACCTTAAGTGACAGTTGGGCTTTGCTTGCATGAAAACGTTTCCCAATCGCGATTTATTTATAACGTGAGTGAATTGCAGAGATCGAACAGCTACAGAGATGTAGATTATTGTATCGTGGTATTGCATTGTTTTCAAAAGTATTGCATTATTGTATTGTAATTATGTATTACTGTAGTGCAAAACATAGATGCCCAGCTTTTGACGAAAATAGACGTTTTGGAGGTCCCTATTACCGAAAAAGTGTTTTTCTCAAAACGTCTGTGTCTGTTTGTGATCAACACTGCCTCAACCACACAGGATTTTTATCAAAATTTTTGCTCAACGAGAGCAATGTACGATTATAAAAATAGTGCAGCCCCGATTATCATAAAAACGCTCGAATTTCGAAAACTGCAGGAGTTAATGAAATGTAGACCCATTATTACGACTACATTATTAAAAATCGATATTTTTCTAGATTAAATTTCTACTTCAAAATCGGACCTTTAAATTATGCTGCGAACATTTTTTTCAAAAATGAATAACTTACTTCAATGTATGGTGAAATAGCGATCATTTGAAAAAAATGGCGTAAATAAGACTTTCTAAATCTGGTCCACATTTTTTTTAAAATTTTAGTCACAAATAGAGCTACGTTTACTTAATAATAAGGCAGATGCCAACATTTTAAAAATTCAATGATTCTTTCAAATATTTACTTCACCTTCAATTACGGAGGTATAGAATGTGTGTTAATGTGCAGTATTCTTTAATTTTAGATCTTTAAATCATCTTGAGAATCCTTTTCTCAAAACGTCAATAGTTTTCATTATATTTTGAGATATATAGGGAGGTAGATTATCGTAAAAACTCACACTTTTCAGTTATTAAATCGTTGGATTTTTCAAGAGATGGTAGAAATATTAATAGAATAGAAGGTGAATAACATTGTAAATTAACGTGTCCGTTACCAGTAATTCGCGAAAGTTTGTGCTGTGGTAGCATAACTAATTTTCACATGAGATATGAAAGAGATAACACTGAATTACAGTCTGTAATTAATATCGCATTCACTTCTGCAGAACAAGTGTATCGAAGATTACGACCGTTGTCTTTCCAGAAATTGCACGTCCTGTGCGAAACCGGCCTGCCGGGGTATCTCCCATTTCTCTGATGCAAGAGCCTTAACACTTCAAGTTATATTCTTTTATCGGCAGTATTTTACTACCGTTCTTCATTTATTTGTTTTTACAAAATGTTGTACGATGATATATGTTCTTCATAACAATTTTGTACGTTTGATTTATTACTTTATCGCATTCTACTTACGTAGTATAGAGAAAGTATTACAGTGCTGCATAAAACCCAGCGATTTTCCGACCGAAAAATGGGCTCTCCATTACCGAAAGTGCATAATTATATAAGAAGTAAATAACTTCTAACACGTGTAGTCAAATTCCACGTTCTGTGAGTCCTTAATACGAGAATTTGGTTTACGGCAAAACGTCGGACTGTCCGTCAATCTGTGAACTGCTCTAACGGCTAAACCAGTGCTTGCCGACTCAATGCTCTGTGAAGTCACAAAAATCTGCTCTCTTGCTCCGAACCGAGCCGTGGAGCAAAGGAAGTGCCCGACACAACAATGATACGGAAGTGGGGGGGGAAAGGTTTGCTCGATAATTACGTTTTAAAGGGTAATTACAATTTATAATGTTTATGATTCAATCAAATATGAAAAAATTAAAAAAAATAGAACATAGATTATTACATGACTCAAAGCAATATCCGACTCGGTTTTGTTTGAAAAGTAGTTACTCCTTGTGATTTTCAATACTTTTTCCACGATCTATCTGCAAAATCCTTCACTGATCTCTTGATTTCAGGCTATCAATTCTCAGAAATTATTTTAATCTCGCGAGTTTCTCTGGGTTGCAAGCTGCGTATTACCTTTTGTTGAACCTTTTAACGTATTTCGGTTTTTACAACACACTTAATGCTTCACCATTGTTACGGTATTTACGAAAAGAAACATTTCTTCCCAAATCGTAAGAAAATTAACACGCGTAGATGGTATCTCACTCATGTTGTCTGAATCACCGGCAACGGTCCACTGCAAAGGTTTTCGTCACAAGCGACCGCAATCTCTCCGCTTCCCTCCCCCCCTTTCTTCACACTGTTCTCCGAGCGTCTTTTTTTTTGGGGGGGGGGGCATATTGACCGCCAAATTGATTCAAATTTAGCGCCACGTTTCGAACAGCGCAGTTTTGCTGCTCTTTAAAGGCATTTCAGACGAAAGGATCATACATTCCAAACTTCGCGTGCTCAAGACCATTTCACTTCTTCCCAGTTCACCAAATAATCACTTCTTTTGCACAAAGTTCCTTGACGTAGATTGTCAACTGCTTCCTGTTAGTAAAGAGCGTCACGGAAATATCCCATCAGCTCATGGGCAGCCGCGAGTGAAACATGTGGGAATTGTCACAGTTCTTGGAATCCAACTACTTCCATTTTAGACGCCACGAGCTCGCAATGTCATCAGAGGCGACGTTCAGAAAGCTCAGTAAAACGTGTTCAACGTTCGATTTGGGGTGTGCCAGGCAATCCTCAGCACCTTTCTGCAGACAAACATGCAGTAGAAACGACGAAATTCGTACCGAAACGTTTGATTTCGTCTGTACAGAGGTAACCATGACCATCTCTTCAATACTCGTTGATTTTTTCTCCAATGTAACAATCTTTCGCAAGAAAATCATCACAAAGCAACTCGCCCTTACCTCTACTCTTACCATTACAAGCAAAAGGAGAGTTCACCAAAACGTGCGCATAGTGAAGCTACATTTACGTCCAGAAGCAAAACAAGGGACCATTTCAGCATTTGCTCAATGGACCAGGGAAACTGTACCAAAACCTGATCGAGATGGGATTCATTGACTCGGAAGCTGAAGTACATTATTTTTTACAAATATATTAAGTCTTTTTAAAAAAAATATACAATACAAATGTAAACTAATTCATTATATATCACTGTTTTGTTAAAATAAACATTATTTTTCTTTTTGATAATCAGTATAGTCTCTAATTGTATAGAAACAGTTATGGAGTAGAAATGATTTTACTTTTAACTTAAATTTGTGAACCGACTTTAATTGTTTAATTTCATCTGGCAGTGCGTTGTAAAGTAACGTACATGTATTGAATGTGGATTTATGATAGTGAGCAGTTGATATCTTCTAAAATCAGTACCTTTTTGATGGGCTCGGTGTTTACTTGAGGGCCAGGTTACGCAACTCTACGTGGCTTTGTTTCTTTGCGCTTGAAGGCCTGTTTGCGATAGTTTGTGGGTGGCCGTGTTGATTATGCGAGGTGGTAGTGAGGATTGGGAAGGCAAGGAAACTAATTGTCATAATCTAAAACAGAAAATCTGTTTTCAGTCGTGATTGTGTTTTTGCTTTCGCGGTTGGACAGTTGGAAGTTTCTGCGTTTCTGCCAATTTCTCTTTTGTCGTTTTTTTAAAAAAAATATTAGAGAGACTTTTTTACGTACTAATAGAAACATTTCTTAGTAAACACGGCGTGTTTTCAGATTGCCAACAGGAGTTTCGAAAATCAAAATCTACGGCAACAGCCATATTTTCTTTTCTTAAAGATGTCGCCTCGTCTATGGATCAAAACGAAGCACCTATTGAAATATTTTTAGATCTTTCAAAAGCCTTTGACGTCATTGGTCATAACATTTTAATCTCAAAATTACTTTCGTATGGATTTCGTGGTGTTGCTCTAGGTTGATTATGTTCGTACCTTAACCAACGATCTCAGACAGTACAAAAATACTGGAATACTTAACACTTACTGGAATAATGGAACATTATGTACACACCTTTCTGATTCTTTGCTAATTGCATGTGGAGTCCCGAAAGGATCGATTTTAGGCCCTATTCTCTTTCTACTATAGGTAAAGGATATGCCCTCGACGATTAGAAACGGAAGAAGTTCTCTTTGCGGATGATACGAATATTCTTTGCAATAAAGAAACCGTAAATATTTTTTTCAAATTCAGTCATCCTCCACACTGCTCGTTGTGTACATTTCGCAAATGTTCATTCCCGCCTGAAATATGGCATAATATTCTGGGGAAATACATCTTATAGCTCCCAGATTGATTACAAAAAATAATTGTACGAATAAAAAGCAATTCTCACTGACGTGATTCTTGTAAGCCTCTCTTTATTAATGTAGGTATTCTACCATTACATTGTCAGGTTTTTTTTTGTCAAAAAGAGGGACTTAAGGGCGGGAATATATTTTCAGCAAACGCCGTTCTATATAACTACTACACTCGTCGTAGCAATCATGTTCATCAGGTGACAGTATAAACAGCTCACTACAAAAAATTCACATATAATACATATACATTATTTTACACCTTGCCAGATGACATTAAACTATTAAATTCGATACAAAAATTTAGGTCCCTAGTAAAATCTTTTCTGCTGCACTACTGTTTCTGTACAATTAGATACTATACCGAGCATCTAAAAGGACAGTAATATTAATTTCAACTATGACATTTATGTATTATATACCATTTGGATCAAGTAGTATATACCATTTGGATCGTATAATTGTAAAGAACCTGTAACAAGTATTGTACTTAGCTTCTGGGTCAATGACCCCCATCTCAATCAGGTTTTCGTCCAGTTTCCCTGATCTTCGAGCAAATGCTGAGATGGCCCCTTGTTTTGCTTCTGAACATAAATGTACCTTCAAATTAACTTCTCCCTATAGCACGCTACACACTGTTTTTAACTGTTTTTGATGTAAATAAATAAATAAATAAATAAAATACAAGTTTGTTCGTTTCTCCGTTTTTAAACCAATATCAATGTTCATTCCCGCCTGAAATATGGCATAATATTCTGGGGAAATACATCTTATAGCTCCCAGACAATAATATATAATATATAAATAAGTGCTTAACATTATCATGTTGGTATGGCTTGAGGATATTTCATACTTACATGTTGGTGAAACGTGGTCCATTTTATACTGTACCAACCAACGGCGGGAAATCCAGGGAAATCTTGCCGGTCATTCGCCATAGAATATAGTATTGTAGATTATAGTTCGTATTTCTTCGAATTTGGTGTGAATATCGGAACGATCAAGCGTTTATTTTGATTTTTGTTGGAAGCTTTGTGAATAGAATTATTGAAGTACGTTCAAGATGGCTCGTGTTATTCATGTTGAAGTCGTTCAACGCTTGGAAAGTCGTGCATCAGTTGATCAAATTAAGATTGCTGTTAACAAGATGATCGACGATAAATTAAAACCTTCTGCAGGAACTTTCATCAAACGGTTTGATGATGTCTTTCTGGTTGAAAACATTGAAGCTGTGCTGATTTCTGAAGGGAATGAAATTTCTTGTAAAAATGGCATATTTTCCGAATTTCAATTTGTGTACCATATTTACCGTCTGAATGATGAGGGAAGACAACGTGAATTATTAGAAAGTGAAGAAGACGGCGAGGAGTTGAGTGCATCTAGTCACTGGACTTTGCCTTGTACTGATTTCCATGGTCTCTGGGAGAGTTTAGTTTTCGAGAGTTCATTGAAAGATGACTTACTTAGCTTTGTGGAGACAACTTTATTGTTTTCTGACAAGGGTGTCGATTCCAATTTTATTAGTTGGAATAGAGTAGTTTTACTTCATGGCCCACCAGGAACTGGGAAGACATCGCTTTGCAAAGCTCTAGCCCAAAAATTGTCAATTCGCATGGCAGATCGCTATAATCACTGTGAACTTGTTGAAATTAATACACACAGTCTGTTTTCAAAGTGGTTTTCAGAAAGTGGTAAATTGGTGATGAAAATGTTCTCAAAAATTCATGAAATTTTGGAGACTGAGTCTTCTCTTGTTTGTGTTCTAATTGATGAAGTTGAAAGTCTTGCTCATGCTCGACAGTCTGCAGTAAAAGGTCTTGAACCATCGGATGCAATTAGAGTTGTGAATGCAGTTCTTACACAGATTGATCACATAAAATCTTACCCCAATGTTTTAATTCTGACAACATCGAATATAACTGCTGGTATAGACTTGGCATTTGTTGATAGAGCTGATATTAAACAATATATTGGATATCCCAGTGTGGCAGCAGTTTATGAAATTTTTAAATCGTGTGTGAAGGAATTACAAAGAACTAATATTATTCATTCTAAAGATAACATTGTAACTCTCAAGTTATTGGAACTATCATCATTTCAACCTAGTGAAAGTACGAATACAAGTTTAAAATTGTATGACATTTCAAAATTAAGTGAAGGTTTTAGTGGAAGAACATTGCGAAAGCTTCCCTTTCTTGCTCATGCATATTTTGTTCAGAAGCCCTCAGTGTCATTGACCGAGTTTTTAAATGCTTTAGAAAAAGCTGTTGGAAAATTTAAGCAAGATTGTGAGGAATTAAAAAGAACATGATTGTATTGCTTGGTTAGTTTTGACAATTATAAAGTATTCTTATATGTATATGTTGAAGTTGAACTCTTTTTAATATGAGCTTTGCTTTTTGGGCAATTTGTGCCATGTTTTCATCTTTTTTAAGACTGATGTGAGTATAGTTGTAACATATTTGGTGTAGAAGTTGTTTCTGAGGTTTCTTCACTGTTTAATGCTTTTATTTTTCAAGTGAGCGAGTGTACAATGTATTTTAGTTTGAGGATTCTTAAGTTGAATTATCTTAACATCGTGTATAATAATGTTTATTGATGGAAGACAGTTTGGATTACAGTTTTAAAACTGGCCATGTGATAATAATAATTATTAAAAATATGTGAAGATTTGGAAACATTCCTTATTAAATAACAATATTAACATTTTTGGCAACATATGAAAAATTGACAATGATTATTAACGTGTCAAATGGACAATTGAGTTGGACATGAAATTGAAATAAAAATGAACAAAAATTATGTGGTCATTATTAATTTTTGCTAGTATTTAATGCTTTTTAACAATTTTTAAGTGCTAAAATTTATTACAATTCCAAATGCAAGTTTGTCGGTTACATTTCTCGATTATAACTTGAAATATATGAATTTAATATTTGTAAGTCACTAATATCTACATTGTCAAGTGCTTTTACTTTTTATATTCTTCACTTTCAGAACTGTAAAAAGGATTAACTACACATTCAATTCTAGTTTTAATAATACATAGTTTCTTGTTCTCAGGTATCATGTAAGTCACTTAGTGATTTTTTCCTTTGTGAAACTACAATGGCTTTCATGTTTTTGGTTTTTCAATTTTAATTTTTAAACATTGAAGTTCTTTAAAATTATTTGTTTACAGTTTTGCAAAGATGCCTAGTGTAGTGTATGATTTGCTCTAGAGGAATAGTAACTTCAAGTGGGCTTCATTGAATATGTAAATTAAAGTAGGTGGTCTTGATTCAAGTGCATGCATAATTGTAAAAAATAAAAACTTGTTCAAGGCAGAATCTCTAGGGCTGGCAGATTTTTTGTCATTAAATAATATTTTTTAGGGCATTTGGTCGTATATTAGACGGTCATGAAAAGAGGATTCTGGCAAATTTTTCCATGTGCTACACAAAAGTAAATTATTTTGAAATGTTTGCATTAACTAAATCACTGTACAATTATTACATTTTAATAATTCTGGGTGGTACAAACCCTTTTGGGGTTAGCAACATTTTATGGTTTGTTTGACATCATTGTCACGCTTAGGTGATAAAATCAAAGGTAAAAAAAACCCTCAAATGTTGCTTATCTTATGAGAATATTTGAATTATTGAAATGTAACAAATGTGAGTGATTTTTGAAACAATGCAGACCATTCAAAATTATTTACTTTTTGTGTAGCACATCAAGAAATTTGACTCTTTTTTCCTCTTTCCAAGTCTTCATAATATATGGCCAAATGCCCTAGGAAATTATATTCATGAAAGTTCTCGCCAACTAAACATTTAAATTAGACAAGATTCCACATTATACAATGTAATGCTGGTGAATTTACTTTTGCCAGAACTGCAGTATATGGTCGCATTGAACAAACTGCATTATACAGTTTTTGCATTTAGCAAATTTGACAGTTTTTATTTACAATTTTTTATGCTGCCTTGAAAATAAATTATTTTTATTTATTTCTAGCAAAGAAATTTTAAGAATTGTGAGATGATTTGCGTGAGGACAGTTATTACATCCTTGTCAAAGTATTTTAAATAAATGAATGTTTTTCTCTTTTCTAAGTTATAATTATTGCCTAGTGTTGCATAAAAATAAGATTTGTGCTGGTGATGGAATGTGGATTATTTTGTACAATTTAAATGATTGACGTAGTATAATCAATAAGTAGTTCATTCCTAAATAAAAACATAAATTCTTCTAATAAGGATTATTATTTTCTTCAAATTTGGTTCCGGTAAGAATGTTCTAGAAGTTGCAGTTTAGTAACAATGTGGCATTTGCTTCAAATAGGGAATGAAAGAAATTATGACTCTTCAGCCATTTTCAACATTTAGAATTTACAAAAAACGTGAAAAAAAAAATTTTTTTTTAGCAAATATAGTGTTTTGTGAAGTTTTAAGGTTTTAACAATTATTTCCATTAAGCCTCGTAATGTACTTTATATCGAGCCAAGTAGTTTATTTTGCTAAGGAAACGATTAGAAGTCCAATTTTACTGATTGCCTTGACAAGAATCTCAATTTTAAGATTCAATTCAACTTAAAAAATAAAATTAGCATTGATCTTCATGGTTCAAGTTCCATTGACATTTTTCATCAAGATGTGTGAAATATATGATAGGTGTATCATTCAGTATTTTTGAAATTAAGAATTTTTTTCATTGTAATTTTCTGAAAACGGTTTAAAAGTATTTGCTTTCTACTGTGTAGCAAGTCATACTCTCTCTCCTTAAGAAATTTCGGATTGCTTAATTAATTGAAGCAATTGTGAGCAAGGTACCTAATCATTTTTTGTTGAAATTTGTAGGAAAACCTGTTAGTAAAACCTGCAATCATTCAATTTCCAGAAATTTTTTCTAGTTAAAAATGTTTTCAAATGCATGCAGCGGTTATTCACTACATTAACCAAGAATATTGTGAAATTACATCAAATATTGAAACGTTGCAATTACATTTTAAGGTAGAGAATTATAGCTTTCTTTGCTGAAGGTTCTTTGTAGATGTAGATGTTGTTGCTAATTTACGTAAAAGATTTTTGCCTGAATTCTGTAATACACTTCTTAGTGTTTTTGAAATTACTAACCCATTAAGTCCCAATGTTATGTTAATGCAACATTTAATACATATATTTTTTAAATAAAAGGATTGTGTAAAAATTCTTCTGTATCACAACTGCACTAAGAAATGCTATTTGATCAGTTTTTGATATTTTCCTTTACATCCAAATGTTAACTTGGCTTTGTTGAATTTTGAAATAATGTAATGAATTGTGTTGTTGATATTCAATTTTTAATTTCATTATTACATAGTGATTAAGAATATTTATTGTGTAAATAAGTCCCTCCATAGCTTATTATTGATAATTTATAATAATGTGCAGTCACGCACCTTTGGGATTAGTGAGTATGTCTTAACATGATAAAACAAATGCAATTGGACTGTGTTGAGGAATAGATATGTAACAACAGTTACCTTTTTCTGTTCATGATATAATTATCTCATCTAGGAGATGGTCTTATCCTGCATTGTTGTGTCATTTTATAAACAATGCTTCAAGTTATTATCTTCTATAAAAATTCTGCTTATTTTGAGAATGATGAAAATATACTTCTATCAACTGCTGAACTTATTTCAGTATGAAGATGATATTGACCTTATCACTGCAAATATGATTGATTCTTTGTACATTCCTACTAATGTGAACAAAATAACAGATGAGGTTGACTGCAATTTTCAACTCTTGGAAAATTTATAATAAGTTGAATGAAGAAATGTCATTACTAGAATTTTGTTTTCACATAGCTATGATTTTAAAAAAGTCGGAAGGCTGTAAAAGATAGTGAATGCAAAAATCAGTTAATGAACACATTAACTGATGTGGTTAACTCTCAAAGAATTCCTTACATAAAGAAGTATATTATGACATAGGGATATCAACATTGGTGTCTCAGGGCATCAATTGATGTCATTGCATTGCCTTTGATTGGGAGGTTCTAATCTGAGTCCTATTGATGCCAGGATTTTCGACACTATTACATAGCTAGGTTGAGTTCAGCCAAACTGGAGAATTCTAGCGGTCAGCCGCTCTCCGATAGTTTTCCTTAGTTTCTCTGATCAACATCAAGGGAACGCTGAAGCAGTACCCTAATAAGCAGGCCACAACCTTTTCTTCCTTCCCCTTCTCCTATCCGCACCACTTACTTACACATTCACTACACTACCAAACATGCCAGAAGACCAGTGAGGAACTTAGAGCTTGTCCCAGCTTGGGAGGACTGGGGACACTGGTTCAAGATACCTATTTGGAGGAAACCCTGCAAGCCAACAGATAGGTTGGTGCCTTATCTCGCCATCCAAAAGGGAAAAATAATTACCATCTCCTGTGATATAAAGATGCCCTACACTTACATAGCTAATACTTAGCAGTTGATGTGCCCAGAATCGCTGATCAATCAATATATCATGTTATAGAACATATGATTATAAAGATAGAAACAAAGCCAGGAGGAGTTGCAGATTGTCAAAAAGCACTATAATTTACAAATGTGAAAAATGCTATGTTCATCTTCATTGAAACTGTTTTCAGTTGTCTCATGTCAAGAATTGATTTACCCTATTGTCCCAAAGATGTGTATACACAATAGTTACACATACAAAAGTTATACGCAAAGTTGTACATTGCATTATATGTTGACCATTAGTTCAAAAAAAATTGTGTTTTTTTTTCCACCTTTTTCGTGTGGTGTATATATAAAAAAATATGTCAATGCTTGGTCCTTATCGGTATAAGATATTTTTTAATATAGTAGGAATGTGGCAAACAGAGTTCTATTTATTCCGAGTGTTTAAGAGACTTTCTTTACTTTTGTTTTAATTTTTGTTACTTGTCTCAACTTTTATTTTGGAACAAATTGCCTTTTAGGCGTGATCATTTTAAAATTATGAAAATTCAAAATGTTTGTTTTAAGCTGAAAGGAAAGATGCTTAAAACAATACAAATTAATTGTATTAGGGACAAGGAATTTCAATAATTTTGCTCCATTTGTTAAAAGTATATTTAGATGGTAAATTACATGTGAGGTAGAAACGTTTTCTGCCTTAAAGCGTGTAAACTGCAAAAGTGACAGTAAGTCACCCATCTATACTTTGATTTAAACTTAGCAGGGAGGAATATAGAATATTTATAATTAATATAATTAGAAAATAATATATATTCCTCCATGAACATTACTTCATTTGGTGTAAATCAGCTATTGTCATCCTATTGAGGTTGAACAACACCACTGTGATGTGTAAGCTCCTGATTGGATCACACCATAACAGCTGATGAGATGTCAAACAAAGCTTGAAATAAATCGAAGTATAGTAAAAATTTCTTACAATTTCTAGCAGGAATGTGTAGACAAATGAAAGTGGTGAGCCATTTCATTTTGAATTATCCACATTTTAGTTATTCTTTTAGATGCTAGAACTCTTTGATAATTCTCCAAAATGGGTCAGGTAGGTTAAAAATTGGACTTTACCATTGCTAAGCGTAGACATATAGTGATACAATACATGTTTGGATTACTTGCTACCAATGGGGAAGATGGGTTTGCAAATCATTCTAAGCAATAGAGATATATTGTACCTAAATTTGAGTTTAGCCATGTAATCAGTTCCAGTTACCACATCCAAGACTTGGGGTCATGGTGGGGAATTAAGGATGATGAATTTTAATTCTCTCACGGTTTTCAAAGTTTGAGCAAGAAAAACCAAATTCCTTACCAGTACTGCTACTAGAAGTTCATTAAAAGATGTTATCACATTCTCTTTTAGGAAGTAAGAAAGTGTTTAAAAATTTTCAACTGGAACTATTTTTAATTATAATGTGAATTAATTCAATCACAATTGCATTCTGTTAAAATTATACAGAAAATTATTCAAAAAAATCTTTTACAATACAGTATTGATTATATTTCAAAATAAATTTACTTTTCAGGAAGTTAGGTGTATTAATTTAAGTCTACAAGTTAAAGCTATCTCTATAAATAATTGTTCAACTTGGTAATGATAAGTTGTCTTCAATTTACTGTTATATGTTCTTTATATATCTCAATGTAAAATTAGAAATGAAATATTGATAGGAAATCACTTACTAAAAATATTTTTAAAAAATTAATGCAGATTTCTTCCTTCTCCCACGAGGTTGAGAAATAAACATTTATTAGCCTATGATTAATAAACATGAATGCACAATAAAATTCTTTGAGCACATTGGTTCACTCACTGACAAAAAGAAAATTAAATCTCTGTACAATAGAAACTGCCATTTCACAACTTGACACAATGAGAACTGTCTATATAGGGGATAGTCTTCCTATACTTTATCACCAGTTCTCTATTGAAATAGCAAGGTGTCATATTGACATCTCAAAATATCAACACATTGTTCATGTCATTCACGACAAAGTTGCAATTTCAAGAAAGGGTATAACACATTTTCACTTTCTTCATCATTGAGTAGCTTTTGCTTTAGTTTTCGTTTTCTTTAGTTTCTTAAGCCCATCCAGATTTCCTTTAAGTAAGTTACAATAGGCTTGTTGAAATTTATTTACATCCTTGGGATGAACCTGAAACAACCAACACCATTGATACCAAAGAAATTCATAATCCATAAAGCAAGAAAAGTAGTAGCATGCAATGTACCACAGTGCTTATTTTCTTATTTCTCAGAGATGCTCGAATTAAACACATGTACTCAGTTGGTTCTGGAAGTGGTTTTCTTCCTGCCCGCGGAGTAGGCTTTGTACGACCATCATCTGGAAAGTCAATAATATTTATAATAAATACCTATTTGCTACTCATGAGATTAAAACGGTGTAATAGTTCGACGTTATTAAAATCCAAAGAACCTGTGATTACATTTCCTCAAAAACACAATTATATTGTCTTCAGTGTCATACAGAACACAAATGAATAAAAAAATCTATAAATACGATTACTGTTACAAGTTACTTAATCGAATAACCTCGAATGCCTACTTACATCTCTTCATTGTCATCGTTACAGCCCCTTTCGTTCGGGAATCTTTAAACATACGTGTAAGCTCGCTGAGAAACTAAAATGCAAGAAAAATTGTTTATTAAGTGCATAAAAACAAAACAGAATTGTAACTTTTTATATTTTCATACCCCTTCGTTTTCTAACAACATTTTCACCGAAATATAGTCACCGCACACACGAACGCATATGAAACGTAAGAAACATATGGACGGATCGACGTGTGCACCGGATTGTGGGTGCAGTATGAAACAAAACAAACCCAAGAACAACCAACGTAAAGAATATCAAAAGTATATTAAACCTCCTAATTGAATGTATCTTTATATGCTAGCCTTACGGAAAAAAGTACAAAAGTGAAAAAAATTATTGAATTGTTCACTGAATGTAATTAGAGAACGTTATTAAGTGAAAGAAATAGTCATTCTTGTTCTGTTTTGAAGGCCGTATAGTTGGTGTTCTTCAGCATTCCCAAAGTTCCCTTAAGTTGATCGCGCAAGGTTCGACAGGGGAAAGTTGTAAAACAAGAAGTCACATTTTTAGTTGATAGCCCTGAAATAGTTCATGAGATGTTTTCGTGACACACAAAAGAAAATAATTCTAAAATATTTGGAAATGAGTATGTTCTAAATGCAGTGCGTCATTCCTTGTGTGGTACAAATCCAATGGGCACTTTTACGTATATGTATAGGTTATCCACTAGGTACAGTGCTATAAAAATTGATTTCAAAATAAATTTATCAAAGTGAACTTCTTTTGAGTGAAATAAAATGAATGAGATATTATTTATATACTCTTACAAATAAGATTATTATAGTTTCATTACTACAGTTAAAGGGTTGTAAGGAAGGTTTTTAACCCATGCACTTAAAGTTACTTTAAATCTGTATAAACTCCCAAACATTTTAAAAGTCTTATGAATGTTAAGGACAATACTTCCAGACAAGAACATACTGCAGAAAATAGTACAAAGAGTTCAAATTATAATGTTTTATACTTATAATTTATTTTTGCTGTTAAATAATATTGACATATAGCAATTTTCATGTGTACTTAAAAGGAACTGTTATCTTATGTTGCGTATTCTGTTCAGATGTGGAAATAGTCTGTTGAACTCATCAATTTTGAGTCGAGCATCTTTGCAAACTTATGCAAGACAGCAATTAATGAAAAGAAATGAATTTGCTTATTTGGGATGTGTATTTATCAATACAACTTGTGCCTCTCAGAAGAAGAGAAAGACATCTGAAGAAAAGGTACTGAAATAGGTTTCTGTAGATAATTTCATTAAAGAAAAAAAAATCATTCATTTCAAATCAGTTCTTTATCTTTTTGAGTTACAAGACAAGGAGTGTCACTTCTGCTGATTACAACTGTATTGACTCTATAGCAAACTTTACTATCTTATTCAACCATAAAGGTCCTCATCTCAATTTTTGCTGGAATGTGGTGTATGAATTTTGTAAGGTCATTGTTTTTATACATTTTTGCCTTCATTGTTCGAGTATAATGAATAGAAATAATATTTCAGAAAGCTCCAAGAATAATACAGTTCACTCCCAAAGCAAAGCTCGCACCAACAATTGAAATATGGAAGAATATGTCTGTTGCTGATCTTGCTGAAGCATTGGGAAAAGATACAGGTATATTTTGTCTATAACTATAAGTGGGGGGGGAAATAGAAAAGAGTTTTGATTTAAATTTGTGGTTCTACTAAAATATCATTTGATTTATATCACAATTTAAATCAGTGATTTAAATCATTGCCGCTATTATTGTACCAGAGTGTTAGGGAATAAAGACTAGCAATAATTTAATGGAACTGATATCTTTCAAAACGAATGCTAAGAGTATAAATTAAAACATTGGAAATATTTTTTTTACAATTTATTTATTTATTTTGCAGATCATGTATTTGAAGTTATGAGGTATGTGGATAACTCAATTGATTACACAAGACCAAGCTCTATTATAGATAACTGGCAAGTTATGAAAGATGTGGTTACTAAGTCAGGATTCAGATACAATATTATAGCCCCTCCTGGGAAGAAGGAAGAAAGTGTCAAGGATAAGGATGTAAAGAAAAGGTTTGTTTGTTGTGGTTTTAACTGTTTTCTCCTCTGTAATATTTCATGTGTAATGTTAGATGTGTCTCATATTTTCTCAAATAATTTAATATTTTTTATGAAGACCTGTTATCTGAATTCACTTCATCTTGATATTATAGAAAAAATTATTATTTTTAGGCCTCCACCTGATCCTTCTGTTTTAAAGCCACGCCCGCCTGTGGTTACAATAATGGGTCATGTTGACCATGGCAAAACTACACTCTTAGATGCTTTGAGACATACTGCAGTTGTAGCTTCAGAATTTGGGGGAATCACACAACATATTGGAGCTTTTTCTGGTTTGTTAATTTATTTTCTATCATTGTAATTTCTATACAGCTTTTCTATTTCCTCATTGTGCTGTATACTAGTAGTCTAATTGTAGGAAGCACTTGTAGTAGGAAGACTTCTTGTTGAAGGGTACCTCAAGATAGTCCTATGCCACATTTTCAAGATAATTATGATAATACTACTTACATACTTGCCATATTGATTACTACATTTTATGTGAATATTATGGTGTTGGTGAAATAAATGACTAGAGTTCAGTTATATATGCACTAAAAAACATGAAAATATGCTAAAAAAAAGCTTGTAAAATGAAAAATATGCAGTTACTAAATGAAACATTTAATTACTAAAACTAGGAATTATCATATATTTTTCTAATTTTTATGATGTAATTCTATATCTCTAATTTTCACAATAAAAGTGCTTTTGCTCAAAAAGTGTTCTTTCAACTTCTTGTATTTATAGGGGAGAATGGTGAAAAGCTGCATAATTTCTTTTGTAATGTAATAATATGTGATTCACCTTACAAAACTGCTCTTACCTTTCTTTACAGTTCTCAAACTTGGATTTCTTTCTTTGATTCTCTAAATTTTTATGCTAAGAATGGACCTGGGAAGTTGTGGAAAGTGTTGGCTCACAATTCCATTTAACTGAAGCTCGATATCATGTTTTTGATTTTGTTGATTATCTCAGGCTTTTAAATTAGAAATACTTTTAAATAATGTTACCCAATGTGACTCATCATACTGTTGTAAAAACCCAAATCACAGAGCCACCTATATTGGATTTTCCAGAATGTTACTTCAAGAAAAATGATAAGTGTTAGATTCCTCAAGTCTGGTTAAATATTGCTACTATCATACAATGTTGAATGTACTATCAGTCTACTGTTGAAAAATATATTTATATCAATTTACTTACTTTTCTTGTTTCTTTATGTATGTATGTATGTATGTAGTATGTGTGTATGTATTCTATCTACAAATGACAAACTACTGACGTGCAATGCGTATATACCTTACATTAATACAACTTTCTTTCAGTAAAATTAAATTCTGGGAAGAGAAACGAAACTATAACATTTTTGGATACTCCTGGACATGCTGCATTCAAAGCAATGCGTGCCAGAGGGGCTGAAGCCACAGACATTGTTGTTTTGGTGGTAGCTGCAGATGATGGAGTTATGGAGCAAACGGTAGAATCAATAAGAATGGCAAAAGAAGCTAACGGTAAGTTCTGATTCTGTTGTTGGATTTTACTTTTTATTTTGACATTCATTATTAGATACAAAGTTGTGAAAAAATTTAACAGCAACTCAAATGAGTATTTTTAAGATGATACAAGTTGTTCGTGAAGTGCAGCTTTCTTTATGTCTTTTTACACAGCTCATTTGTGTTGCAGCATTACGTGTTTGGATTTGTTGTATAATTATATACAAAGGTATTTTGAGTGGTGGGCTTCACTTAATCCTTGTACATAATATAAAAAAATGATTTTTTTTCAGTTCCAATTGTTGTTGCAATAAACAAGATTGATAAATCAGATGCAGATGTGGTAAGTTTTTTTGCTTGAATGCTGAATTAAACAATTTGTGTTGCATTTTTGCAATTTGCAATACATTTTTGTGCAAAGTTTATCTCCTTATACACATCTATCAGAACCTACACTAATATATAAACAGAGGAGTGTTAGATTTGTATGAAGTAATGTCTGAAACTACATCAATTTTTATAAATTTTTTGCATTAGCTTCATTTGAAGGTCTGGAGTATTGTAGGTGGTTGGTGTTCAGCCGTAAACATTAATATATTTACAAAATCTTGCCTTCTCTCTATTGAACAAAGGTATATTGAATGGATTTTATTGATTTCTATTCTATTGATAACCAATGAACTATTGATTGTTGATCTATGCAAAGGCGAGTCCTGATTGTGTGATTTTCTTGAATTCAGCAACTCTCAACAAAGGAAAATAAATAATTTAATAGTTGTGTATAATAAGTCAGGATCGAAGAACAACAAAGTGGCTGATTGCCAGGACAAAGACAAATGTGACTACAGATGAGTTTTAATCTATTATTGATGCTTTGGCATACAATCTTATGTTGGCAATCAAATTAGGCAAGAAGATAGTTGATAAAACTCTTTACATTGAGGAGACCCAATTAGCAACCCAACAAAGTACATGGTTTTAAGGTTTTTTTAACTTAATCAGCATCTTGGAATAAAAAAAAATATTCAAGTATCCAATGAGGGTATCCTCTCATAGCATTCTTAAGGAGTGTGATTATATAATTGAAGACCGAAGTCAAACACATTAATGCTGTGGATTGGCAATGGAATTTATTAATTAAAAAAGCAAAATATCTACTTCTGAGACATTGTCTCAGAGATGGTCACAAGCCACAAAATGGTAATTTTACAAGAGAGCTGTTTTGAACTTCGGATAATTTCTAAAATCAGAGATTTCAAATGATTGATGCAAATTTTGTCTGAAATGTTCTGGATTGATTTCTTAAACATTTGAAACAGCCAGAGAAAAATATATGAACTTAATTTCTTTGTTATATCAATGATAATGTTAATAAGTGAAGATGGTGGAAGAAGTGGAGGTGACTTGTGATTATTTCTTGGGAAAAAAAACAACTTGTTTCTGAGTTAGAAGCATGTCTCCTTAATGTCTCCTTTTTAATCACATTTTATTTCCAGGAACGAACAAAAAAAGCTCTTTTGAGTGCAGGAATACAAGTGGAAGACTTTGGTGGAGATGTGCAAGTTGTCGAAGTTTCTGCTTTAAAAGGCACTAATCTTGATTTATTGGTGGAAGTTATTTCTCTCCAAGCACAATTGCTAGAACTGAAAGCTGACCCCACTGGGTTAGTTGAGGGTGTTGTCATTGAGTCCTCAACTAATGTTCATAGAGGGTAAGTAGATAAATTAGAAGTTGAATGTTTAAGATGTAAATGGTATATGGTAAAATTATAAGTGACATCCTAGAATTTAAAAATATTTTAAAATAATTCTTCTGCCTTGTCCTCTTTTTTCTTGTCACTTCCTTTATCTTCTCTCCTCTTGTCATTACTCTTCTTTTCTGTTCTCTTTTTTCTGTCATCTCCTTTCTTTGCCTTCTGGATTCTCTTCTTGTTTATTTAATTTTTTTAATCCTTCCTGAGGGATGCAATATTAATAGGGAAGCTCTGCTGACTGAAGATAGTCCGGCATGCTTAGGCTTTCGCGCAGGAAGATCACTTGGGCTGTCTCATTTTAAAGGAAAAATTGAATAAATCCTACATTTTTTATTATATGACATTCATTCTTCCTTTATTTATTAGTATTTTCACAATAAACATACGAAAATAACAAAATCTTGAGTATTTTGACTAGCTCATTCTAAACCAGTCCAGAGTTTACTTAACATTACTGTTTTCATCGGAGAAGATGGAGGAGAAAAAAGAAAGAGAGAAAAAATGGAATCAACAAAACACAATAATAGCAGAATCCATAGAAAACTGTTTTTTAGTTTCAAAATTAAGTTAATCTCAATAATCCACATTATATCTCTATGAGAATTGTACTATAGTAATGAATATTTGTGTTTGTCAGTTTACTGGATTCAAACACAAAATTAATATCAATTTAACACAAATCACGTTTTCAAAAAAGAAACAGAAACCCTCACAAATTGCCCTTATTCCAGTTTGTATGCTACTGTGTTGTTTTATTTACTTTTTAGAAGACCTAATCAGAGGATTTTGCTTCTGTTCTCAATATATCTATGTCAAAATATATAGGGTTATATTGGTTTAGTCAACAACCCTAAATTTTTTTTGGGGGGGGGGAGAGGGGGCAGTGTTACGGCAGCATGGAGAGTGAATGTGTTTTGTCTTCAATACAAAATGGCCATGTTAGAAAGGGAATTGGAATTTTTCTTAGCTCCCTCCAAAAAAAGTTCCCTTCTTTAATGGCAATAACTGAATGTTTTTTTTACAATCTGAATGAATTTGAATGGAAAAATATTGCTTTTACATCAAAATATGGTTTTGTTTCTTAGTTTATTGTTTATAACCACTCTGTATTGTCTTACAGAAAACTTGCTACAATAATTGTGCAGCGAGGTACTCTCAAGAAAGGAGCTGTCCTTGTAGCAGGAACAGCATGGGCCAAAGTTAGAGGTATGTTTGATGACAAGGGTCAACCATTGCTTTCTGGTTCCCCTTCAACACCAGTGGAAATAATAGGTTGGAGAGATTTACCTTCTGCGGGAGATGAAGTTCTGGAAGTGGATAATGAGGTAAGTGAGCAATAAAATGTGAGTTGAGATAAACGTGTGAGAGTAAATAGATATTGGAAGAGTGCTATATGTGTGGGTGCTTTTCTTTTTCTATACCCCCCTCTCACCCTCAATAATCCCCATCAATTTCTGAAATCTAGAACTTGTAATTAATGAATGATTTGATCATTTCTGTTTGAAATATTTCTTTTGGTCAAATTATTCCATTTGTTCTTTCTTTCTCTTGTATTCTGTTTCTTTAATAATAATTAATAATTAATAATAAGTAATAATAATAATTAAAATAATATATAATAATAATGAATAATAATGAATAATTAATAAAGCAACCATAACAAAACCAATAATAAATAGTAATAATAGATAATAATAGTTAGTTAATAAATATTTATTGAGTCACATATTCATTACAATCCTATATGACAAGTCAAAATGAAACCTAGGGTGCAGATGGTGAATTTACATTATAGTCCGGAAGAAAAACCATGAACCATCTCAGCATTTGCTCAAAGGGGCAGCCAACTGGACAAAAAACCTAATCGAGATGGGGTCATAGATATTATACTACAATATTTGTTAGAGATGTAGTATATTAGTATATTTACAGTAGTTATATTACAGATATGGATATTCTCTCTTTGACTCTCTTCTTACCTATTCTCCCCAATTTACTTTCCCATGTACGTACAAATATACAAAGTAATATAAGTTGTCTAGGAAAAGTTATGTAATACTATGAAAAAATGATTTCAAGATTTCAACGGAAATGCACGGTTTCAAATCCCCTTGTACAGAAAATAATTTTTTCCAAAATATCCGTCTGTGACCGACCGACCGACCGACCGACCGACCGACCGACCGACCGACCGACCGACCGACCGACCGACCGATCTCCCACAGCCCACACACACACACACTCCACACACAACTCACACCCCACACACCCTCCACCCCACTCCACCTGTTACATAGTCTTTGCAATGTTTCCAGAATTTTCCCAAAATTGCTCAAATTTTTTTTTTTTTTGGAATTCGTGGTTGAAAATAGTGAAATTCAATTATAAATGTGTTGTAAAACCAATTATACTGTTAACTCTAAATTTCCGAAAATTGCAAAAGGTTCAAATTTTTTTGGCATCTTCCTACAACTACAAAATTTAAGATTTTTCCTTAAAATGAAATTTGTTCTCCATAATTTGTTCTTTCTTTAAGGTAATGTAAATATGTTTAAACATTTTAATAGTTTTTGCGCAATACTGCATAAAATGTGTGCAGTTTTGAAAAATAGCAAAAACAAGAATTTCACAAAATCGGCTCAAAATTTTTCCTTTAATGATGTATTCCTTATTTTTTTCAAAAAATTACATAAATGTACTATTTTAAAATATCTCTTTTGTCGTTAATATTTTCTTTACCAGCAATTTATATACATTATTGTATTTGCGAATATAAATTCTTTAAATAATTTATTTTCTCGAAAGGTTTGAGTGAAACTGAGCTAGAAAATTGGTATTTTCAGAAACTGAAAGAAATTTTATCAAAAACGGCTCCAAATGTTAACGAAAATTTCCATAACTGACAAAGTATTAGTCTTCTATAATATTCTTGTCATGTTACAGTTCTACCATAGGAGACTGAAAAATGAACAAATGTGAAAAAATGTAATTCACGCAGTGATAAACAACAATTGGAAAGAGGGTGAGGCAAAACGTAAAGCTAGCTCAGACCAAAGAAATTATAAAACTAAATAGTAAGAGGAAGTCTGTGGCATTTTCTAGCACCACTAGTTTAATTTGATTTTAAAATAAAATTAATGTTTGTTGCAGAAACAAGCCCATGAGGTGGTGAAATTTAGAGAAATGTTAAAAATGAAACAGAAACAAGAAGCAGCCCAGGTGATTATAGATGCCAAAACTCAAGAATATTTAAAGGTATTCATGTTTTTTATAAAAGTGACAATTTTAAGTGATAGTTTTGCTATTTGAGCTATGGATCAATGTCTGTAGTGTATTATTCATTGCAGGAATACAAGGCACAGTTGGAGAAGAAGTGGCTAATGGGAAGAAGAAAAGTACGTCGAGAAGGACCTCGACCAAAAGAAATTGAAGAGGATAACAGTCCTCATGTAAGCATCATTTTGAAAGGTAATTTTCTTCTTATTTTTATGTTGCCCTCCTTTAAGTTTTATTTTCAAAATTTATAGATGTTTCGTATTGTGATTGTTTCTTTATTGATAATATAATCCTTCTGTGAGTTGTGAGTCAAATAAGTTGAATTTTGTACAAATTTCAGGTGATGTTGATGGTTCTGTAGAAGCAATATTGGATGTTTTAGAGACATACAATTCCAATGATGATTGTCAACTGAGTGTAATTCACTATGGAGTTGGTCAGGTGACAGAAAATGATATTGAATTAGCAGAGACTTTTGGAGGTTAGTTTTTATCTTTCTTGGCCCCAATTTTTGTCATTGTAGCGATAATTAACCATTAACCTATGCATATTAATGTTGTTTCAGCAATAATATATTGTTTTAATGTTGATATAAATAAGAATGTACAGCAAACACTGGAAACTAAAGATGTCAAAGTAAAACATCATAATGTAATATACAAACTTGTAGACGATTTGAAAGAAGAGATAAGTTCTCATTTACCTGAGAAAGAGGTTGAGGAAATCTTAGGTGAATATATGATGATGAATAATAATGCATGATGTATATGTCTAGTGTTAACTTTGTGGATGGGCTTCCCTTGAACTCTTCTATAGTTGGCTACTCCTCTTATTTTTGTATGGCTGCAGAAGTATAACAATGAATGGAGGTACTTTACATCAAAAAGATTAGAAATGAACAATTGAAAAAGTATATTATAAAAAAAAGGAAGAAAAGAAAGAAGTGTTTCTAACTGTGATGATCTTTCCATTTTTTTAAAGGGATCACGATTTTGTGATGTTGTAACACTATATGCGATGTTGCTATAACTAGTAATATACACTTGATAATTCATTTAAAGAATTCAGGGGCATAAGATTTTCATTGTTCTACATTGTTGTCGATGTATTTGATGTTGCTATAGATGGAGAATTTTTCATAATTGAATTTTGTGATTTACTTGAAGGTGAGGCAAATGTTTTACAGCAATTTGAAGTAAATGAAGGACGACATAAGGTCCCAGTTGCTGGATGTCGTTGCACTAAAGGTGTCTTAAAAAAGTCAGCCTTCTTCCGTTTGGTGCGTGGTGAAGAAACTTTGTTTGAAGGTGAGTGATTATTTTTCGTTAAAGCTTGTTATGAACAGAGTATGTAGTCTATTGTCATTAAAGTTGCTATTTGCTACTCATTCATTCATTGCTATTTGTTACTCATTTTGGACTAATTGTTGGGAACTAGAGTCATTTGTTGAAAAAATATTCTTATTATACTTTCATAAACAGTTACGTGAAATGGTGATTTCTTCTATAGGAACTTTAAAGTCTATGCGACACTTAAAGTCTGATGTCGATAGCATTCGGAAAGGAGTGGAGTGTGGTTTGCAGTTGGAAGACAAGACTGTTTGTTTTCAGCCTGGTGATATATTGATATGTTATGAAATGAAAAGTATTCCTCAAAAGACTAGTTGGGATCCTGGATTTTAATGCAGAAGTGTATGGTAGTCCAAAAATAATATTATTTTATCATTATGTGATAAAGTATTTGGAGAAATTTTTATAGTTTCTTGGAAAATGAGAAATACGAGTAATTGGCAATGTAATGTGATGTAAAGGATTGTAACTCTGTTGATGTTTTTTGTGGATAATATTGACTTGTTATTTGTGTAAATAAATTAAGAGGTCAAGATAATGTAATAAATGTTTCACCCACATTTCTCACATCTTGCTGGATCATAGAATTTCCCTCAAAAACAAAAACTGTGATCCAAATGCTGCACAAATGTGGGCGTACAGCTACAATGTGTGTATAATAAGAACCTAGAAGAATGCACAAAAACTGAGAAATATCTGAAATGGTCAAACATTGTTGCCACTCTATCTTATAATAGTTACTAATTAGGCACAGACTCTCACCTACTAGTTTCCTAATCTCTTTAGTCTGGGCTAGCTGTTTGGCGTGTGCCCCCCCCCCTACATTCCCTTCATGGCTAACAGTGCCTAAAAGACATTTTATCACATTTTAACCACAAATTTTCTCTCCCATGTAATAGAAACTATTTTGCATGGAGAAACGCACAAATGAGTTTGATATAAAATTCCTTTTGCAAAAATAACCAAACTTTCTACTCGTGCAACTAGTAAAGTGAGGGATCAAGAAAACACCCGGCACAAATGATACCCACACCTATTTCCATAACACAATTTTTTTCGTGATAGTGAAAATTCGTATGTCATATAGAATAGTATTATAATTGAATAAATAAAAGGAAGAAGAGGGTGTTAATAATTTTCATACAAACAAAGTCCATGGATAAATTTAATATATTGGCTTGCCCAGACTGGCAAAGATATTATTATTATTATTATTATTATTATTATTATTATTAT